ACTGCAACGGTCATAAATATGAGTCAGTTGACAAGCATCTGAATTTTGATCACAGGACCATGGGGATGCTGCAATGGTTGTAAAGGGAAAAATCTGTCATAACTCACTTTTTCACTGCTCTTGTAATTTCAAACAATCATTAAACAAAGTGTTATAAGTCAAGGACTACCTGTACTGTTACCCATAAAATATGCTGAGTTTAGAATGGTGTTAAAAGGGAAACTATCTAGGTAACACAATCATGATCTTCTTTTCAGTCACTGCATTCTGAGGTTCCTGTCTGTTTTTTTCCCTAAGGTGGAGGAGCTGGACAGACTTGTGACAGCAATGGCAGGATTTAAGCGGTATATTAAAAAAAAAAAAACCCTCCCTTTAATACTAAGGAAATGCTTAAGCATAACCTTCTAAGGTGCATAGGAAGCTTTCTTAACTAGAAACAAAGCAGTACATCCCCTAGAGGCTTTTTGCTAGAGGCTTTTTGAAATTTCAGAAAAGATATTTTCCTTTTTAAGAGATACTAAGACCTACATCTGGGATTTTTCATATATATTCTATTACTTAGCCAGGACTTTTGCTTTCTAAAAATTAGCAACCCTGTAATATTATCATGTTGTACAGCTAATAATTCCTACTAATTTTAGGGCTTGTTTTGAAGTATACTTACAAATACCGGTAGTTGTTGCTCAAAGCATTCTCATGTTATGTTTAGCTGCTGCCTTACCGCATGCAAATTTGAGTTGTCCAACCACACAATTTTTCTATGTCGTTTCATGCTTATTCAAGGCTAATACCATTTAAGAATCAAATAACCAATGGATCTGGCATGATATTCATGCATTTTTGCATGTTCATTCCTCCACAGGCATAGGTCTCTTTGAACTTCATATTATTTTGTTTTTGATTTTAGGGCTTATATCATCACAGGACAGACATATAGCCGCAAAGTAGATATTGAAGTTCTCTCTGTTCTAGCAAGTCTTGGGGCAACTGTACATAAGGTAAGAACTGGTTTACATGTACAAGTATTGTTGTAGAGAGAAGCTCTAATGTATGGATAGCAAATGAGTAGCTTTCTGATTTTGCTGAATTACAATTCACAGCCAGGGTGACCAGTAGTGAAAGACATTGGAACCAATTACCGATTAAGTAGCTACATTTGACAACAAAATACTAAACGTTGGTTGCATGATTTTGTTTGCTTGTTTACAAGCCTCCAGAAGAGTTTGTTGAGTTTTGGAGATGCTTGCACCAATTTTAGTGGACCTCCCCCATCCTCCCCAAAACTGGACTAATTCTTGCTCATTGCAGATATCACTGGGTCACCTTCAGGGGTGGGTTCTACTTACCTTTACTACAGGTTTGCAACGGGAGCGCACATGCGCGCACTTCTGCGCATGATTGAGGGTTTTGGTTTTTACAGCATTTTATGACGTCCGGGTGAGTGGGTGGAGCCTTCCTCCGCTTTTACTACCTGTTCTAAAGAACCGGACAGAAGCGGGAGCAACCCATCACTAGTCACCTCTACTTTTGCCATGGCCTCTGAAGACGATGATAAAGAACAAACTCTGAGCTTTAAATAGTTTAAATCTTATAAGTCCAATAAATAAATAAGCTACAGTTTAAGATCATTTGCTTGACTCTTGCCTCTAAAAATGCAAATGTCAGTCAGTGGAAATGCTATTCCTTTCAAGATTACTATTGTGGTAATTCTATTGGAGATTTTATTTACATGTGAATTTATATTAATTATTATTCACTAGATATGTACTGATATCCGCCTTCTGGCCAACCTCAAAGAAATAGAAGAACCTTTTGAGAAAGAACAAATTGGTAAGCACTGAGTAAAAATAGGATTTCATTCTACTTATTTTATTTACTGTAACTTGCTCAGCACTTTTTAAATTGGTCTATCTGTAACATCTTTATTTAACATAATCAAAAGTTAAAAATAAATTATTATAGCCCTTAGCAAATATTAGCAATGATTTCCTGACAAATTAATTTTATAATTTTTATGTAAAAATATTGCAGGAAATACAAATATGATTTCTACTGAAATGTAATGGAATTTACATTGCCATTTCATACATATCTAAAGTTACTGCTTTATTGGCAAGTTGTCAAAGGAGAAATCTGAAGCTTATTGAGCCATAAGTATCCATCTTTAAAGAATCTTGTACAGGTAGTCCTCAACTTGAGCCCAGAATTTATGTTGCTATGTGAGAAATTTGTTAAGTGAGTTTTGTCCCATTTTACGACTTTTCTTGCCACAGTTGTTAGGTGAATCACTGTAGTTGTTAAATTAGTATCATGGTTGTTAAGTGAATCTGGTTTCCCCATTGATTTTACTTGCCAGAAAGTCACAAAGGGGGATCACATGAGTCCGGACACTGCAACCATCATAAGTATGAGTTAGTTGTCAAGCATCTGAATGTAAATCACGTGACCATGGTTTTAAGTGTGAAAAATGGTCATAAGTCACTTTTTTCAGGGCTGTTGTAAAATTTCAAACTTTCACTTGTTGTAAATCAAGGACTACCTGTATGCTCCTTCCATCCTTTGAACACAATGATTCCAGGGGTGGGTTCTACTTACCTTTACTACCGGTTTGCAACATGCGCAGAAGCATTTTGATGAAGTCGAGATCAGTGGGCGGAGCCTCCCGCCGGTTTTACTACCGATTCTATAGAAACGGTGCGAACCGGGGACAACCCACCACTGAATGATTCCTTACATTCTTTCCTCAGTTAAAGCAAAGTTTGTTCTATATTTGCACTGCAAGCTAGGACAGATTTCAGTCAATTGAGGCTTTTGGTTTTTACAGCATTTTACATTTTCACTATTCTGTCTTAAGATGAGCAATTATTTAAAACTGTTTTAAAGGTTCAAGTGCCATGGCTTATAAACGGAATCCCATGCGTTCAGAACGTTGTTGCAGTCTAGCTCGCCATCTTATGATTCTTGTCCTGGATCCCCTTCAGACAGCCGCTGTGCAATGGTTTGAGCGCACATTGGATGACAGTGCAAACAGGTATATACTTACATGATGCGGAGATGCTCTTGATGTATTTGGAAGTTATAGGAGGAAATTAATTACAAGAAAAATATGGTTGACTGTAACATGCTCTGTGCCATCCAGGCCTCAAGTAAACTTCTAGTTTCAGTGAAGCAACCTTCCAAATAACTACTTTTTCTATAGCACTAACTACCTATTAATATATTATAGTAATCAATAACGCAATAGCATTTAGCATTTTCTGCCCCATAGCCCTTTATACTACCCTCTGAGCAGTTTATAAGTAAAAGCATTATTTGCATATTGTTCCCAACAAAATCCGTCTCCTCATTTTCCTGACCTTGGAAGGATGGAAGGCTGAGTCAACCTTGAGCCCTGCCAGGATCAAATTCCAGGCTGTGGATAGAGTTTGCCTGCAATACCACCATTTAACAACTGCACCACCAGGGCTCCTACAATATGCAGGGAGTTAGGCAAATTAATACAGACTCTTGACTTACAACCATGATTGGTACCAGAATTTTGGTTGCAAGTCAAGGCACCCACATGACCGGAAACAATTATATAACTGTTTTTATAGTGGTCGTTAAGCATATAAATCATGCAGTCATAAGTCCAAATGACATAGCCACAAATCATGAGCCAAGGTGGCGCAGTGGTTAGACTGCAGTACTGCAGCTACTTCAGCTGACTGCTAGTTCATCAGATCAGCGGATCAAATCTCACCGGCTCAAGGTTGACTCAGCCTTCCATCCTTCCGAGGTGGGCAAAATGAGGACCCAGATTGTTGGGGGCAATATGTTATCTAGTATACTGTCTTTGATGTAAGCCGCCCAGAGTCCTCGGAGAGTGGGCGGCATAGAAATATGTATAATAAAATAAAATAAAATAAAATAAATCATAGACTCATGAATGTAAACTCATTCTCCTAATGGCTGGAGTTTTTTTTTACCAGAAATCAGCAAAAACATCACAAATTGCAGACATTTGATCGCAGAATGCTACAGTCATAAATGTGAGCCAATTGCCAAGTGCCTGAAATACAGTCATGTAACTGCATGGGAAAGGAGCCAGTACAACATTTTATGATAATCAGAAGTGCTTACAAAAGGGCCATAAAGCACCTTTTATATTTTATTTATTAGCTCACTATTGAAGCACTGGTTCTGAAAAACTAACACGGGTAAAATATTCTTTACATCTCTGCAACCTGAAGAATATATGAATAACAATCAGATTAACACACACTGAGCAATTAAAACAGTTGCTTTTCTTTATCCTTGTACTGTTTTTTTCTACAGGCGTGTATGTTTAGCTGAAGCTTTCCTTACTGCTGATATTATACTCAGTACCCTGCAAAATATCTCTGAAGGTCTTGTAGTATACCCCAAGGTAAGAAGTAAAAGCAGAGAGACAGTGAACACTCATTTTTCCACTGAATGAAATATAGGTATGTGTATAATTTAATCCTCCATGCCAGATGCAATTTTTGGTGTTAGTTGTAATCCAGCTACAAAACAGGCCTATCCATCAAGAACACTACAAACCAGAGGTGGGTTTCAGCAGGTTCTGACCAATTCTGGAGAACCGGTAGTGGAAAATTTGAGTAGTTCAGAGAACCGGTAGGAAAAATTCTGACTGGCCACGTCCCCATCTATTCTCTGCCTCCCAAGTCCCAGCTGATGGGGAGGAAATGGGGATTTTGCAGTATCCTTTCCCTGGAGTGGGGTGGAAATGGAGATTTTACAGTATCTTTCCCCTGCCACGCCCACCAAGCCACACCCACAGAACTGGTAGTAAAAAAATTTGAAACCCACCACTACTATAAACCATTTCTCTTTTGGAAGACTGATTTCCAGAACTCCCCTGAAACACCAAGATGAGTAAGCTCCAGAGGAAGAACTGATATGGAAAGAATTTCCTAAAATAAAGTTGTACACCATCATCCCATTTACAGCATTGGGCTATAAGAGATCTTTAAAAGCAATCCTACCGAATTCTTTTATTGTTTTATTTGACAACCTTAATTAGAGTTGCAGCAATTATATTGTGTGGTACAAAGTAAGACTATGGTTAATATTAGGCAGATTCCAGATAGGATATCTCACCAAATCTTCCAAATAATCACATTTACTAAATTGATATTTTTTTTAATTTAAATGTGTAAAATAAATACAAGTATATGATTTCATGAATTTTAAAAGGTCATACAATTCAGTTCTAAGAATGAAAGTGTAGCTCCCTGGGACAAGAATAACAACTGTAGCAGTATCTGATTTATTAATTACTGTGTTTATCATGTACATTTCAAATGGAGCGAAAGCTGGCTTGTTGCATAAAAACAATAGGTTATAATTTTTTGCTTTGAAGAAACTATCTGCACCAATTCTGTGGTTTATTTTCTAAGCGTGTATTGAATAACATATCTAGAAATATAATCATTATCTAAGATTCTACAGTTGAGTGGCATGGTGGCCTAGAGATGAAGGCGCTCTCCTCCCACTCCGAAAGTTGAAAGTTCAATCCTAGACAACGGCAGATTTTTCTCTTATCAGGGCGCAAAGACCTCTGCTATGAACTCCACATGGGTGTCAGGAAGGGCATCTGGCGAGTAAACACTCAGCTCCACTCAGTTGCAGGACTCAACTCTGAAACAAAGAGATTAAAGGATCGTAAAAAGAAAAAAAAAAATCTAAGATTCTACAGCTTCTTTCATACCCACTGAGATCCTCTGCATAACAAAAAGAATGTATTTTATCATGGGGATATGTTCCATCTGCTGAATAAATAAATAAGAATAAGAAACCATATTAACAATCCAGTCTATAAAAATTTATATTATAATTTTTTAGGTAATTGCAAGGCATATAGAACAAGAGTTGCCTTTCATGTCCACAGAAAATATCATCATGGCTATGGTGAAAGCTGGGGGAAATCGCCAGGTAAGTAATTAATTACATATACTTAGTTATCAGCTCCTAAGAAACATACATGCAAGAAACACAGGAGTTATAAAAAATTTATGGAAATCCAGGGTGGATAAAAATCAATGATTTTTTAAAAAAAATAAAAAATGGACTTTTTTAATTTAAATCAGATTTTTTTAAATCAATTTTATTTTAATAAAATGCTTTTGGAGTAAAAATCTATCTAAAGATAGTTTTCTATTTAAGATACATTAATAATTTAGTTTATTTAGCATGAAATGGAGCTTAGTTATGTGGCATGAGGCAATATATTCTGCAATATTTACATTTTTGATAAACTCATTCAATGAGTCCAAGCTCTGCAAGCTGAATAGGAAACCTTCATTTTGTTTGCGAATAATAATATTAAAGATTCCAGCTACCAGCAAGAATAAGTCCTTACATTTAAAGAGCACCTGTCATTTCAGATCCATCATGGCAGCGCCTGTTAGCGGGCATCCACTCATCTGCTGCCTGCCACGTCCCTCACGCTGTGGCACTGCCGCATCACCAGCCGTCCCATTCAAGTGAATGGGACTGTCAGTGAGTCAACAGCAGCTCAGGAGGAGCCTCTGCAGGACAGAGATGACAGTTGCTCTTTAAAAATTATTTAAAAATTTAAATCAAGTTGATTTAAATCAAGCCTTTTTACTAGTGATTTAAATCGTGATTTAAATTGATTTAAATCAAGTCCACCCTGTGGAAATCTATTCTGGTGTTTTGTTTTGTTTTGTAATATTTGTCTACTGATGAGGTCTGGAAAAAACCTTGCACACTGTTAAGCTTTTGACTGGTTTTTAACTTAAATACTTCTATAAAGCAATGAAGAGTTTTAGAAGTATCTTTATTGTCTTATTGCAGATTGTAAATTAAAAAGAAAAATATATTAAATCTGATAATCATTTGGGATACCACTGGAGAGAGAGTATTGCAATAGCTTTCTCATATGCTCAAATCCTTTTTACAAGATGGGCTATCTAGGATGAACTTCCTAAACTCTGTATTCATCATTAATGGTGGGATGTAGCATTTTCCTGGTTTAAGAGTAACACTTTGTCCATTTTTTACCTTCTAGGAATGTCATGAGAAGATAAGGGTTCTGTCCCAGCAGGCAGCTGCTGTTGTGAAGCAAGAAGGAGGTGATAATGACCTCATTGCACGAATTCGTGCTGATCCTTATTTTAGCCCTATTCATGAGCAATTGGAAACTCTCTTGGAGCCTATATCCTTCACTGGCCGTGCTTCCCAACAGGTAGGGAAAAGCAGAAAAAGCTAGTGTCCTTATTAGATTGCTCTTAATTTTAGCTTTCCTGAAGAAAGCTTTTTTTTAAATCTGCAACTGTTATGTCCCAATTCATATTTACTCTTATTAAAATTGATATGCTGGTTTTTTTTAAAACCAATCTCCTCCTCCATTCTCTTAAATTCTTGGTAATCCATTGGTATTTCATTTTATCCTAATGTATTATGGACTTTTTATTCTAAATTACTTGTTATACTGGTTTAATATAGATTGATAGACCAAAAACTGCCCATACTTTATATAAAGTATTATTTAATAACAATGAGCAAAATTATTGGCACTTTTTTATTTATACAATTTTATATGAGTCCACTAGGAGAAGGGCGGTATATAAATTGAATAAATAAATAAATATAGTGAAATCATTTCTCTCTTTTTTTTTTAAATAATTTTTATTAATATATTCTATACACTAATACACAAATAAAATATACAATCCTGCCACCATGGTATAATATGATTACATTGTCCATAAGTATAAAATCATTCCTTTATACATACATATTTGCCACCATATATATATACATCATCATATATCTATTCTATCCCACCTTTTCTGGACCCAATCGTACCATACTTTCCAACTGTTATAAAATTCTGAATCTTTTTTACCATTGATCAATCTAGTTAGTCTATCTGATTCCGCACACTCATTAATTTTATATATTATTTTCAAATCTATCGGTAAGTATTGATTTTTCCACTCCTGTGCATACGCTAATCTTGCTGCAGTGATAATGTGGATCAACAAGAACCATATATCTGATTTAACATTCAAAGGTTACATCTGCCTGCTGTTGGAAGTGCGGTTACAGCAATGGAACCTATTTTCACCAATGGTGGACCTGCCGCAGGCGGTTAAATATTGGAAAAAAATACGGCAATGGATTTTGGAAATTACACAGATTAATTTGGAATTAAGACCTGAGATTTTCCTATTGGGGGCAAATCATTTCTCAATTTTCAACAAAAATAGCAGATAAGGGACTAAGAATAACAAATAATTAAAAGTTGAAAAAGTGTTACTTTCAAAAACAATTAAACTATAATTAGAACTCATCAGTTAAGTGGAAGCAGACACTGGTCCAACTAGTTAAAATCCAAATCAGCAGCCAAAGCAGTTTATCATAGGAGATCTATCTGAATAAAATTGTCTTTGTCTATGATAGAAAAGCAATACAAGTTAATTTTCCAAGTTTTGAAGCAGCTTCAAGTAGTTGCAATTTGTATTTCTCCATATATGTCTTCAATGATACTCAAATTCAAGAGAAGGATCTTTCACAAATATCTTAAATCTTAAGGTATCTTTGTATCTTTCAAATAGCTTGCTTCCAAGTACTATTGAAGCTTAGTTCTATAGAGGTTTATTTTATAACCACGAGTTTGAATTGTATCTGTATAAATAAGCCAGCAGCCAGTGAAGTTGCTCTATCAGAGTTGCTCAGCTGTTGTGTGACTGCAAAATTCTGGACCACCTGAACTTCCAGGACTCTTTAAAACACGGGTGTCAAACTTGTCACATCACATTGCCGTCACGTGATGTTTTGCTATGTTTTTCCCATTCGCAGAGCTGGGGTGGGGTGACATCATTTAAAACATGCTCATATAGAATATATAAAACAAAATCGTATGTTAGGGTGGTCACGGCTAGGTAGTTTTTATATGGTGATAAAAAATGGCAAATTGTAAAGGATTATAATTTATTGGATCTCAAACTAGATTGTTGTTTCTTCACAACAGGTGGCAAGATTCCTGACTGAAGAAGTCAAACCAGTACTGATCCCTTATCAGAGCAAAATGGGTGTGAAAATAGAACTGTCTCTTTGAATCAGTGTTTTATGGCGGCCTTATGTTGAAAGAGTAATAAAATACTTTTAAGAATTAAATCAATTTAACTTGAATTTTTTGATGGTTCTGCTATAGAAAAATTGAAAATTATGATGTTGCAGACTTGTGGAGACATATGAAGATGAATTAATGCTCACATTTAATTATTAACTTTCAGATGTTTACAAACTGGTCAGGCCAAAATAATTCAGCTATTTCTGCATTTGCAGTTATCAGGCAAAGTTAAGAAGCCTGTCAAGTGTTTCTTGATACATAATCTATTCAGCCTGTCAGCCACAAAATGGGAATGGCTGATGTATACAATAAGACAGTTCCACCAAGGAAATAGAAAGGTAAAATTACAATTCTTGGTCTTTGGAAAAGCATAGATTCAACTCTTCAATTTGTTCTATTTGCTGGTGGAGAAGCTTCCGACTGCTTTGGAAGATTGATAGTTGATCAGCACACTTCAGGTAGACTTTGCATCTCCTGTAACAGAACCCTCCAAATTTTTCAAGACATCTTCAGAACTACGGAAAAACTATGGTAGCCTGGAACTTTGCATTTCCGCTTCAGCTGCCATGTTGGTGTGCAAATACACCCTTCTGTTTGTTGAAATGAGCCTGAATGTCTGAACGTATACTTCACCCTTTGTTAAATTTTAGGTTATAAAAACTCTGTCAGAGATCTGATCTCATGTATTCTAAAAAACATTGAATGTGAAAGTTGGTAAATAGTACACTGGAATTTGGTGAGGGAGAATGAATGAGGATCAAATCACAAAGCAAATACATAAAAGAAAAGCAAATACAGGAAGAGGAAGAGCAAAAAAAGTTATAGCTAAAGATCTTAAAAATATAGATCTAAACAATAAAAGGCAATGGTTAAAGTGGTAAATGGATGGAACTAAAATGGTTTGCAAGAAGACAAGCAAAGGAAAATAGTACTGAATGGTGTTGATAACACCTAGTTTTAGCTATTTTATCTATCTATTTAGCATTCTATCAGAGATGAGGTGGTGCAGTGGTTAAAGTGCAGTACTGCAGGCTACTTCAGCTGAGTGCTAGCTGCAGTTCAGCAGTTCAAATCTCGCCGGCTCAAGGTTGACTCAGCCTTCCATCCTTCCGAGGTGGGTAAAATGAGGACCCAGACTGTTGGGGGCAATATGCTGACTCTGTAAAAACTGTTTAGAGAGGGCTGTAAAAGCACTATGAAGTGGTATATAAGTCTTAAGTGCTATTGCTATCTACCTATTTATTTATTTATCTAATCTATCATCTATTTCCTATTTTCCGTACCCTGTAATGTTTCTCACCCAGAAAGACATAGTTTGATGGGTATGTCTATGTATCAAATGATTCAACAGTGAGGCAGAAAAGCCTGCTCCAGGTTCCAGAGAGGTAAAAATAAGAACATAACGAGAGCTGGGAAATGTGTTAGTTAGACTTGGTCTTCATAAGATGTTTAGAAGTAGAGAGATGATAATAAAGTTGAAAGTGAAATCGGGTTAATTCCAAGATTTTTATAGGGAATCACAAAAAAGCACTGCGTGCAGTGATGGGATTCAGCCAGTTCGCACCACTTCGGGAGAACCGGTTGTTAACTTTCTGAGCAGTTCGGTGAACTGGTTGTTGGAAGAAATCATTAGGGCAGAGAACCGGTAGTTAAATTATTTGAATCCCACCATTGACTGCGTGTATACACTGAAATCTATTGTCATGTATTCCCCGTTATACAATGCAGGAATATCGGATTTTTTTTTTTGCAGGCTAGTGTAAAAAAGTATTCACAGTGGGCTATTTGTGCCAGGTTGTCTTAAGCGCTGCCAGATATAGAGTGCCTTATCGGGACTTGGTCGCCCTAATAAATCATAATTACCCGTAGCCCCTATCCTCCCTAAATCGCAGGATTTGAGATCGATTAGAATTATCTCCCACATTTCCCAACAAACACTACCACTGTGGCAATGGAAATCAGGCATTCTGATGAGCATCGACCACTTTAATCTCCGACAGAAAAGAGAAAAATGACGTCAAAAGAGAAGCCCTGAAACGCTCTCTTATCATCATTATTATCATTATTATTATTATTATTATTAAGGCGTAGCTGTCCGCGGTAGCGCCTACCTGCCTACGCTTCCCGTCATGCTCTCTGCTGGCCGCTCCTTCCTCCAGCCTCCGAATCCGCGCATGCGTTGTGCTTTAGCTAGTGCTGACGAGACGGACGGGGGGTGGGTGGGCTGCCATGTCTGCCCGGGCGTCCTGAGGTAAGGGTCCGTTGGGAGCGGGGCGAGTGCGTGGGGATGTTCTTTAGCGGCACCGTTCACCAGCAGCAGCAGCAGCAGGAACACCGAGGGAGCGAGGGCAGGGAAATGGAGCCCATGGAGCCAGAGCCACGGGGCAGGTTGGTGGGCAGCATAGCCGAGGGCCACATCTTCTCCCTCCTTGTGACAGGCGGAGGAGGAGGAGAAATCGAAGAATCGCCCAACCAGATCGTTGGGGGGGGGGGAGAAAGTACGGGGAATCCTACGGCGGACAGGTTTTGGCCAAGCAAATAGGGGTTGGGAAGTCCGTCGGGCTGGTCCCAAGATTTCATGAATGAGCTGATCCGTCCATTTCTCCTTCTGTCTCTCTCTCTCCATCAGCGTTAAGATGATGCTGGCAGGGAAACGGGAAGGGAGCAGCGTTTGACAAGGGTCGGGAGGGAGGGATGCTCTTCCCTGAAGTAAAACTAATATAGGAGGCATCTGCTCTTGCTTACAAACTGTCCTGGGTGGGGGGGGGACCCTTCACCCACCTTAGAGAGCAGGGATCTCCAACCTTGGCAATTTTAAGCCTGGCGGACTTCAACTCCCAGAATTCCCCAGCCAGCTTTGCTGGCTGGGGAATTCTGGGAGTTGAAGTCCGCCAGGCTTAAAGTTGCCAAGGTTGGAGACCCCTGTTATAGACATTAGAATAACAAGAGTTGGAAGAGACCTTGCAGCAGTGGTGAAATCCAGTTTTTTTTTTTACTACCGGTTTTGCAGGCGTGGCTTGGTGGGCATGGTGTGGCTTGGCAGGGGAAGGATACTGCAAAATCTCCATTCCCACCCCACTCCAGGGGAAGGATGCTGCAAAATCCGCATTCCCTCTCCACTCCTGGGGGAAGGATATTGCAAAATCTCCATTCCCACTCCACTCCAGGGAAGGATGCTGCAAAATCCCCATTCCCTCTCCACTCCTGGGGGAAGGATATTGCAAAATCTCCATTCCCACCCCACTCCAGGGGAAGGATGCTGCAAAATCCCCATTCCCTCTCCACTGCTGGGGGAAGGATGTTGCAAAATCTCCATTCCCACCCCACTCCAGGGGAAGGATGCTGCAAAATCCTCAATCCCTCCCCACTCCTGGGGGAAGGATATTGCAAAATGTCCATTCCCACCCCACTCTAGGGCCAGCCAGAGGTGGTATTTGCCGGTTTTCTGAACTACTCAGAAGTTGCGGTTCTCCAGAACCTGTCAGAACCTGCTGGATTTCACCCCTGCTTTGCAGGTCTTCTGGTCCAGCAAGCGGGAGACCCTACGCCGTTTCAGATACATGGTTGTCCAGTCTCTTCTTAAATACTTCCAAGTGATGGAGCACCCACAACTTTTGAAGGCAACCATTCCAGCTGATGAATTGTTGTATCAGGAAATGTCTCCTTTATTTCTAGGTTGGTTCTTCCCTTGATTAGTTCCCAATCCTTTGCTTCTTGATCTGCTTTCAGGTGCTCTGGAGAATAAGTTGATCCCCCCCTCTTTTTTTTGCGGCAGCCCCTTAGATATTGGAACACTGCTATCATGTCACCCCATGTCCTTCTTTTCATTAAATTAAATTAGACATAACCAATTCCTCCAACCATTCTTTATATGTTTTTGGCTCCGGTTCCCTAATCATTTTTGTTGCTGTTTTCTACACACTATCTAGAGTCTCAACAACTTTTTAATATCGGGGTGGCCAAAACTGGATGCAATATTCCAAGTGTGCTGTTACCAAGTGGTTTATAAAGTGGTTTAACACTTCACATGGTCTTGATTTTACTCCTGTGTTAATGCAGGCTGTTTGGGCTTTTTATAGTTACTTTATTAAACAAAATTAGAAACAGCTAAATCTTTTACTTTTTAAGGTTTGTATGTCTGGTAATGCCATATGCAATCCAATAAAATATTAGAAAGTTGTAAGCAGGTTTTTGAGTTCTTCGTTACTCATTCTGGCTCTGGATGCTAAGCTAAGCCATAGGGAGAGAAAGAGAGGTAACCAGTTTCTGTTTGTAGCCAATGAAATGTTGGTCATGCTATCCAACGTTAATTACTTACATTTCCCCCCAACAGCCATAATTCGATCAAATTAACTCTTAGCAATATTACTTACTTAGTACTTCTGAGTGTTTTCTAATTTCAATCCTGCTATTTAATAGTTTTGAACACATTGTACATAGAAACGGGTTAGACAGATGTGCATCTTTTTATTATTGCCAGTTTTCTTTTGCAAAATTCAAGTCTGTATTACATTAGGAATTAGGTGGATATATTGTCTGAGAAAAATTCCTATGAAAGCAAATAATCGAGGTTTTTAGGACAGGGATAAGGAAGTAGCAGTTGCAAAATCCCCTCGCCACCATAATGTAGAACCAATATTATTGTGCAGACAGTCATAGTTCATGTAATGATACTATTCTCAAATGCAATATTCTCTGCAGAGTTGTTCCCCTCTCCTTATTGCTTGAGGTTCAGAATGTGTCAGAATTACACCTGCTTAGTAGGAATCCCAATTTTATTTCTTTTTTTAAAAATCAAAACTATTATTTCACCCAAGACACATTCTGCTAAAATAATCTGTTTATTGCAGAGAAAAACTGAGAAAAGGCAAAGTAGCACCAGGTTACAATATATTAGCAGTGGCATTTTTATTTTGTGAAAAATATTGGTTTTATTCAAATAGGAATTTACGTTTACAGAAAAAATTTACTTTTTGTTCCATTTAGTGACTCATAGATTTCACTGCAATTTTCTGACTCACTTATTTAAAACATTCAGTGCTGGTTGCATACAGGTAGTCCTCCACTTACAAGCATTTGTTTAATGACTGTTCAAAGTTACGATATTGAAAAAAGTGACTTATGACTGTTTTTCACATTTACGATCGTGGCAGCAGCATCATAATCACGTGACCAAAATTCAGATGCCTGGCAACTGGCTCATATTTATGACAGTTGCAGTGTCCTGGACTGACGTGATCCCGTTTTGCAACCTTCTGACAAAGTCAATGGGGAAACTAGATTCACTTAACAGTCATGTTACTAACTTAACAACTGCAATGATTCACTTAACAATTGTGGCAAGAAAGATCATAAAACAAGGCACAATTCATTTAACAACTGTCTCACTTATCAACACAGTTTTTGGGTTCAGTTGTGGTCGTAAGTTGACGAGTACCTGTACTGTTTGTTTTTAGTTTTGGTAATTGGCTGTATCCCTCCCATCCTTCTTCGCTTTCTTTCTATTTCACATTTTCCACTCGCACTTCCTAAAAGACCATCTGTTTTTCATTTTGAAGTTGTTGGTGACTTCTCACTTTTATTTCTAAAGTTATATTTTTGGTGTGTTACTAATATGGAAAAATATAGATTAGCGAAAGCATTCAGATAAAATCTTTTTGAATAACATGAAAACATTTGTGTGGCCTAATACTGCCACAGATATTTTTTAAATGATGTAAAGAAGATTCTCAATGTGTGCTACCTGTGTCTCACTAGCAACAACCCCCTCCCCTTTTTTTTGAACTTTTGATGATAACTGCTTTCAATTATATTTGTAATAATTTCCCCTATTGCGCATTAAAATGTACAATTTGGAAATGAGTTTCAGAGATTTCCTAGAATTATATCCTTAACTTTGGAAGTTGCATATTGCATACTCCAAACTATATAGAATCTTTGTTTGTTGCTGTAATTAACATATCCTTTTTAAGCTGCAGATGGCATTTTTATTTACGAAGTCAAGTGTCAGCATATATTTTCCTGATCCTTACTTTTGCGTCTCCCATTGTTTTTTGGATTGGGATATTGTATATTATTTTTTCATAAATGTCATTAATTCCTCAAGTTAATATTTGCTCAAGAGTGGTTCTCTTCCTGACTTTTATAGATGGGTTAAATATAGATACCAGGCATGACCTTAACACTTCCTTCATTTAACAAAATTCAACTAGGTACAATCCTACCTTTTCCAATTTCATATATAAATTTCAGATATCAGATTACATTGTTTTTGCTGGCCTCAAATTTTTTCTTGTACCAGTATCAGCTGCTTTAATTCTCTAATGTAAAGGTTTCCCCTGTCCAGTTGTTTCCAACTCTGTGTGTGTGTGCTAATCTCCATTTCTTAGCGCAGGAAGCCAGCGTTGTCCAAAGGCATTTCTGTGGTCATATGGCCAGCATGACTATATGCCAAGATGCACGGAACACTATTACCTTCCCACTGAAGTGGTACCTAATTATCTACTTTCATTTGCATTCTTTCAAACTGCTTGTTGGGCAGACGTTTCTAATGTACATATGTTTAATTAGATTTATTTTTAAAAAAATAGATTAGAATTACTCTAATGACAATAAGATTGAAGTTCTGTGGTGTTGGGGCAAAAAAAAGTTTTAAATACCGGTAACTTCTTTGCTGTTTAGGTTTTTTTTTAATGTAAGCTTCCTGGAACCTATTGAATTAGGCAGGACATAAGCGATTTAAAGAACTTCAAAATTTGTATGAGCTTATACTTTTAATAATGATCAAACAAGGTTTACAAGTCTAATTTTACTGTATATTGTGCTTACTTAACGGGTTAATATTGCGTTGCATAAATAAGGATATTTTAAAGAAATATATTACTAGGTTAATCTGATTCTCCTTATAATTTTTTACAACTTCTCTTCAATCATGTCCAATTCTTGGAGAGTGCCTGGACAAATCCCTGCAGTTTTCATGAAAAGATTTTTCAGAAGCGGTATGACATTGCCTCTTTTCTAGGGCTGAGAGAAAGTGACTAGCAGTAGTCACACAACTGGCCTTGTGTTTGAGGTGGGACTAGAACTCACAGTTTCCGGGTATCTATCTTGATGCCTTAATCACTACACCAAAGTAGCTCCAATTGTTTTTTAAAATATATTAATTTGACTATAACTAGAATTACTTGGGTTATATTCGCAAGATTCAGATACGAAT